AAGCGGTAAATACCTGCTTTCGCTAAGCCAAGCTGCCAGCTTCGTACGTGGCAGGGCTGTGGGCCATGTGGGCTACCTCCGGATCTCTTGGGACCTGTCTAGTAAGTGTTTACACACCTGGTTTTCTTGTTGGGGTTGTTGCTGGTGCCTTAAAGGGGAGCGGACCCTTGGGGCCCACTAATACCACAGGGCAGCACTTCCTTGTGCTTGTGCTTTGGAAGCTAGGACTCAAATAGTGTCATTGTAAAACAGCTTCAGGCTCACTTCAACGAAGTGCTGCTTCCCGGGGCCTGCGAGGCCAGAGAGCGTGTAGGATCCTGGCCACAGCCAGCTATAAAATAGTTACGGTCACCCCCACATCTGCCTGGCAAACAGCATTTAAACCAGCCATTCTCAGGCAGTGCCTTGAGATCCTTAGCACTGGTAACTGTACAGACGTTCACAAGATAACCCCAGAGATTTCGGAAAGGAATCCATGGTCAAATTCATCCCCGCCTGTTGTGGTTTTTCTGTGTTCTTTCCAACAGAAAAAGCGCTCCGTTATTTTTTTCCGTAGTCAAAAACCCAAGTGCAAGTTGTCCAGGGGTGCCTGAAGTCTAAAAAGACTGAGACCCGCTGGTTTAAACCGTGTTATCCTGCCCTCGTTCAGCAGCCCCTTTGTCCTGCTGCAGCTGTGGTGTGCAGCGAGTAAGTCCAGGAGTTCAAAGTGAAGCTGGACTCTCCGTCTGCAGCCGGATGGTCTCGCGTAGATCCTGCCAGCCAAGCCCGGTTTCCCCACACCGCGTGTTTAAGGGTGAAGCCTGGGTCTTAACTGTGAACTTTCTTGCCTTTGCCTTTTGTAACATGGCTTAAACTTCTGTTTGTTCAAAGGCGTGTTTAGCTCCCTGCATACATGCATCTGAATGACAGCTTTAATTAATCATGTTGAAACTCAGTGGAAATAGCTGTTTTTGGCATTTAATTGAAGCACTCTGATTCACGTCATGTAGCAGTAAAAAAGTCTTTCAGGAGCGAGAGAAATGTTCATTCCTAAGGGCATAGACCAGTCGCTGACTGATGGGAAGCGGTCTTTTTTTGTTTTAACGTGGTCAGCTTATGAATTCTGTGGCTGAGCACTGTGCCGAGGGTGTTACAGGTGGGAGTACTAGGGTGTAGATCCGGTGTAGGATCTGGAAGATCCTGGGGTGCAGAATTTGACACCATCAGCCGACTGCCTTTGCGGTGCTGTATGTTCATGTGCAGTGTGACGAGCAAAGAGGAGACAGCAGCAAGAGCCCGTTTCTGGGAAGTTTTGTAATGTTCTCTGAATTAGGGGTTGTGAGCGCCCGGCAGCCTTGATGCAAGGACGTGGAGGATGGCTTTCTCTCTCGTGCTAGGGCTACACGCTGCTACTCCCCTGCATTTTTCTACCCAAGTATTTCCTTGGCCCCATCCATCCCTCCTGGAGTTCTCGGGGAAACCTCCCTTGGGTTGTAATAGTTATTAGCGCATTAAGATTTGCTCTTTCTCTTGAAATCCCATTGTTGCATAATAGGCTAAATCCATCAACTGCTGGCCCACAGATCGTTTAATCTCTCTCTACGCAAATAACTTTGTCCTTTGGCTAGCCAGCGTTGAAGTCCTTGGTTTGCGTGGGTGTGCTCTTTGCCGTGGTGGTTTGATAAGAGCCACATCCTCCCATCAGCCCGGGCCCTCTGCTTGTCTTTGATCTCCCCAGTAACTCTTCTCTTTGCCGGCTTTTGTTTGTGCTTGGCTAAAACTCAAGGCTTTCATTAGCTAAGTGCAAATTTAGCACATCTGCCAATCAGTCTCTTCTCCGTTTTGTGGCATGGCTCTTGTGGAGTCACGGAGGCAAGCCTGATGAAGTTCAGCTTCTTCCTTTGATCCGGCATAGCCTCAGAGTGGTCTGGGCAGCGGTCAGGCCCAGCAACATCCTCGGCTCATGTCGCGAACCATCAGTAAGACCAGAGCTTTGAGTTGGTTCGAAGCATCAGCGTTCGGGTGCATTTCACGCTCTGATTGCAGCAGACTCCTTGCAAACTCCTGTTCAGTTCAGAAGCTCTTCCACGTTAAGTGGAAATCCCTCCACATTTCCCTTGTCTTGTTATACTGCAGGATGAAAGAGGGCTATCAGTGTCCTGTTCGCCACACAAAGCCACAGTCTTTTAACATCACAGCTAATTGCTATGGCACCCGTTGTTGCAATAGAAAACTGTATTTCATGGGCAAATGCAGTAGAACGGTGGTTCTCAACCCTGGGGTGCTGCGAGATGTGTGGAAGGGTGCCGCAGGACAAGGGGGGCGAGAAGCACATAAAGCCGGCTCAGGCGTTCCCTGCTTGGGGGCTCTTTGCCCCACATTGCCTAGCTCCTCTGCAATACGTTAGCTTTTGAAATGGGGTGCCCCTGAAGTTATGGAGGGGCGCCTCGGGGCTAAAAAGGTTGAGAGCCGCTGCAGTAGAAAATGAGCTCTCGGAAGAAGAAATCGTTTCCATGCAAATGGCTATTTTCGGCGATCGGCTTTCTGTGAGCCCGTTGGGGTTCTTCGCGTGGCACTTGGTGCTCCCTGACAGCAGGTGGTTTTCGAGTTCAGAACGGCAGAAGCTCTTCTTGCATCATGTCTTGTATTATCCTTCTTCAGTTTGTTAAAGGCATCGGTCGTTTGATCAGAAACCCTTTGCAGGATTCTCAAGAGATGGATGGGACTGGATTAGGTCACTCTGGTTTGCAAAGGAAAATAGAGAAGACGGGATAGATTTGCACTTCACAGGTGCCTGGAGCACAAGCTTTTGTGGGCTCACCTTCATCTCACTTCATCGGATGCTGTGAACGGAAAACTTCACCTGTGCCCTGTTCTAAGGTTTAAGGGGCAAAAAGCAACTGCGCTCCGGGAAATTGCAACAGCAGAATAATGGCTGGGAGAAACTGCTGCTGGCTGTGGCTCCAGGAGCAGTCAGAGATTAAGCTAATCCCTCAGCTGCTTGGGGTAGGTGACGGGAAGGGAAACGGAGTCCTTCATAAAACCAGGTGAGCTACCTGAACGTAGTCATGATACGAGAGCTTTGCCCCGTGGTCGTTTCGCTGGCATGGTGGCTGCTGTGGAAGAGTCTGAAAGCCAAGCTGAAGCCAAACGGGCTGCGTTGGTTCCTCCGTTGTACTTCAAGGCTGAAAGCCAGACTAATAGAAGCCAGTCATTTCTCCTAGTGCCGACAGCAAACAAGAAATCAGGCGCGGGATATGCAAGCTCATGTGCCTTAGCAATGAGAGGGTGACAAATGCAAAATAAGTTTTCTGCTGTGAATTGCCTATTAGCATGTACAGCCTGCGCGTGTGTAGATGCTCCGGAGCATATTGCAGAAATGTCTCTCCAAATGTCAGGGCTGTTGAGCAGGCTGGGCGGCTTGCGTTAGATGGATGGTTCTGGGAAGGGAGGGGGGAGGCTTTCACCTACAATTCCCCAACCGTTGCTAATCCGTGCATAGGCTTCACCTGATTGCAGTAGTGGTGTCTGTAAGTTCCTTTGCTGGTGTATTACAGGCCTGTATAAAATGTGCTGGCCTCAACTCGGGAGAGCAGGTATTTGCTTAGCGGTACACTTTTCCTGCTAGCCGGGGAGACTGGCTCCTCCAGGGCTGCAGCCCACAGCTGCATCGAGCATTACATCGATCCTTCCACTTCTGATGCGGAGCTTGAAATGAGGTGGTGTGGTAAGAATAGTTTTCAAATGCCCTTAACTCGGGTCCTTGCATCGCTCAAATACGAAAAGTACTTAAGCTACCACCGCTGGTAAAATTTAGCACCTGAACTTTTCAGGGCGAAACGCATCTGGAATCTATAAATGTTGGTGTTTTAAGCACTCTCATCACACACGCGCGTTATTTTTAGTGTTTCGCGGCCAAGACCGAGTCAGCTAAACTTTGCCGTTTATTTCGTTCTGCTGAGCTAGAAACTCCTAAAAATGGGCTTCTAATGGGAAGTGCTGACACCTCCGGAAATCGGAGCGTTGCCCCGGGTACCAAACCTGGAAGCTAATTCACAGCCGAGGCAGCATCTCCATGCAAGTGCGGGGGGTTTGCAAAGTGGCTCGCGCTCCTTTCTGCCTCCCAGCTCCGCTGGTGGGTGGGTGGGTGGCTGGGTTTCTTCATTCCTTCTGTTGCAAGTGCGTGGAAATGTGGCTGCTTCGGCGAGTTCGCTCCTCTGTCGTCGCGGCTCTAAGACTCCAGAAAGCGTGGCAGGCGGAGCTGGCTGCAGCTCGGGAGCCGCTCGCGTGTTGGCCCATTGTCCGTTGCAGGAACGGCCTCTGCTTAACGAGCCCTGGAACGCAGCAGCGATGCTAGACGTCCTGCAGTCTGTCGGCTTCTGTTTAAAACGGTGCGTGCTGAGTGATTAATGGAAATTATTTCAGGAATAAAGTACTCTGGGTAAGGTGATCTCTCTTCAGAGCGCCAGGAGAAGATTCAAGTCGCAAGTGATATCGCTTCCAATCAAAACCGGTCCCACGCGCTGGGGGGAGGCGCGGGGAGCAGTGCTGAGATGGCATTTTGAAGCAGACTTTTCCTATACCCTGGCTCCTGAAGCGAGGAGTTAGCTCAGCTGTCTGTGGATCCTAATGCTTGTTTGAGCGCCTTTTGGCACGCGGGCAGCTCTGGAGATGCTGGCAGCCAGGGAAGCATCTTAGGCATGAAGTGGGGGCTTGGAGCAAAGCTGCCGCCTTCCTGTACCGTATCTTCCACCCCGGTGCAGACGCCAGGGGAGAGAGAGCTTGCAAACTTTCCTGGGGGGTATCTATCCTGCCTGAATCGGAGGCTAGCTGTCGAATATGACTTCTGACGCTCACCTAAAAAAGATAGCACCGATACCCGCTTTCCTTGCTGGCTCGGCAGAACTAGCGAGCGCTGTTACCAATCTTATGTGGGTTTTTTGGGGGTTTTGTTTGGGGGGGGGGGGGGGGGGGAAAAAGATTTTCTTTCACCCTGTTCCAACGCACGTCGTCCGGCAGCCTTTCACCAATAGGGACATTATGCTCAAGGAGGCGAAAATGTTAAACTCTTCATCCTGCTGACAAATGACTGGGCTGACTCTGCTAATCCAGAAGAAATCGAATGCGATTTTAATGAGCGCCTGAGAAAATAATTGCACAAGCCGTAATGCTGTCCAGCCAAATGAATCTAGATACATATTTCTGCGGGGAGAGGAGGAGGAGGGACAAACTGCTCTTAAAACATTTGAATGAGTCCCAGTCCAAAATATTTTTGCTCCAGGCTGAAGCAGCAGATTTTTTGACCAGGAAGCGATTGAGATTTTTACTTTTTTTCTTGGTTGATCAAGGCAAACCTTTCTTTGATGTCTTGTCTCTGCTAATTAATTGTCATTCCCAGCCATTGTTTCTAGTCGCATAAAAGTTTGTTCCCCTTCACGGTGAATCTGCTGTTCCATAAAATGAAGTCACCGGCGTGCTTGCCCGGCTGGAGGACCCTCCATGACAACGCAGGGGTGAACAAATCAGTAGCCTGGTTACGGGCTACATCTCCGCAGCATTCAAAGCTCCTTGCAACTCCCAATTTTGAATCAAAAGCGGCTGACAAAGCTCTGGCCGAGGGCTGTGCCCCCTTTAAATCTGTTCACCGGAGACCTTTTTTATGGCCACCGCAAGTTAATACTTGTTACCAATAATGGCCCCGTTGGTAAGCCAGCGGGCTGCGACGCTCCAAAGCCGGGGTCTTTAGGGTTGCCGTTGCAGCCTTTCCCCGGGGGCGGTTGGACCCTGGCTGGGGTACGGGAAAACAGCAGCACTGAGCGCAGCCTGCAAGGTAAAACACTGAACAATGCGTTTCCTGCCACTTTGTGAGCTGAATCCCGAGGCCTCTCGCTACCAGAAAGCAGCAGGCAAACGTAGCCAGGCCCCTGCTTCCCCGCCGCACAAAGGAAAAGCTCGTGCAGGAAGCATTAATGCCTCCGAGCGCACGTGGGCGGACCCTGGTGCGCTGTGACCCTAGGTTTTACCGCTGGGGTCTTTGCAGGCAGTTGGGCTGTGACTTGGGAAACCTGCTCCCTCCTTGCCAGCATCCTGGGGCCTTGGGGCGGCACTGCCGCTGCGGGACACGCGGTCCTACCTATGCTGGCAGCGCTGACAGAGATGGAGGCAGCTCCAGCGCGAGCACCGGTGCAGCCCAGGGGCCGGGCACGCAACTCGGGTGCTCATGTTCCTGACGGAGCTGACCCAGGCAGCTGGCAGCCCTGGCGTGCGAGTCCTGGCTCAGCCTGCCTGTGCCTGGCTTGCTCCCTGACTTGCTGCAAGGCCGTTTTTGTGGCAGGAGGGAGATTGCAGGGATGCTGTGAAATTGAGGTGGGGTTTCGGTCTAGGACTCTGTGGGTGTCCCCGGGCTGGCGCTAAGATGACCCCGTTTCACGGGGGCACGGCCAGTACTGCCTCTAACCCGGACAAATCAGTGTCCCTGTTCTCTTTCCGTCTTTGAAGCGTGGGACATGCTTCGTCTAAATATAGACGGCCCTGGACTTGACTAATATGGACAGGGACAGGGTGTCGACCTCAGTGCATCTCCCTTGACTTCTGTTACAGTCGTATTTAAAGCGGCAGGTCTGTCTTGTTGGAGTATTGCGGGGCTCTGCCGGTCAGACCAAACATGGTTAGGCAAGAATCGGGCACCTCCGTGTGTGTGGGGGGCACTGGCATGCCAAGGTTAGTTGTCAAATGTTTTTAAAGTGCAGTGTATTAGGTGCAGAGGCTGTGGAAACGGGGCATCAGACACTGAGGGAGGCACTCGCTCCTGGTTATAATTTACTCCAACAGTTTTGCATAGGGAAGCAGTGCTTTTAAAGGTTAATGATTAAAAAATACCTCCTGGACTGGCTGCATCCTTCCTGAAAGGGAGAAGGGAAATAGGAAAAGGAGGTTTAATTTTTGAGAAGCAGGCTGCCAGCTGGTTAGTCGTTTCTGATCCCTGATGTGAAAAATGAATTCTGCTAATGGAGTTTTCCCGCGTTGATTAAAATGTTTGAAAACCTCTCTGAAAGCACCTCATATCGTGGTGCTCGGAGAAGAGGAGCCAGCTGGTTTTGGACAGAGCCAGCCATTCGTACCGAGCACGTGGTAATAACAGTCCTTAGAAGCCTTCCCTTGGGCATAACTTTCTTCCTGCTCAGCTAGCCTTGGTTGTGTTTGAGATCCAGAGATGCTTAAACAATTTATAGCACCAGAAGAATGTCCTGGAGGGGTTTAATCTGGGAATGCCGCAACTTGGAGACCTTCGGGGAATGCGCCGTGTAAACCAAGTCCGCCTCTCCTCCTCGCCTGCGGTCTGCGCTGCCCGGCGTTGCACGGCTGCCGTGCGAGGGGAAACGGCGGTGTGGGCTGCTCCGCTTCGCCGGCTACCCCACGTCTAACAGCCGGGCTGAGCTGGAAGCCGTGGGAGTAGCGCTCTTGTGCATCCCCGGCGCCTTTCAGCCCCGAGCTCCTGTCCTTCCCTGCTGCATCTAGATGGTTAGACTGAGGCAGGCCAGGGGACTTCACCGGGGTCGCGCCATCGGTGCTGGGTCCTGGAGCAGCCGGCACTTTGCCACCTGCCCTATTGCTTGCCCGACACGTGCGGTTCAATCGGTGCCGTCTGTGCTGAGCAGTCCTCCTGCCACGTTACGGGAACACGAGACGCAGCCGCCCGCTGCCAGTCCGTCGCAGCCCCCAAAGCGACCTGATGGCACGGGGAGTTCTCTGAAGCCACGCAATGTCTTTCAGGGCATAAGGCGTTGCTGCATGTTTCCCCGAAGCAGCACGTGGAGTTCGGGTTAAACGTAGTACATCTTGCCCAACCACCAGCGGTTTGGGAGGGGGGGGTTGGAGGGAGGAATTGGCTTGCGTTTGCAGCTGGCCTGTGACGCGGGGCTCGCTGCCGGGCAGGAAGCGATGCAGGTGGGGTTGGGAGCGAGGCAGCACGGGGTAGCGTTGCGGGCTGCAAACAGACCCTCCAGGTGCCCCGTGTGGCTGCGGCTCAGCAGCCGGGCACCACTCTAGTGGCTTGCCCTGCTGTGTAAGCCGGCGGGGTGGCAGAGCGGTCCACCTCCTAGCCGGACATGGGGCAGGAGCATCCTGCCGGTCGGCTCGCAGAGGCCGTGCTGCTTTCTCGACTCGGGAGAGTGGCGTATCCTCGTTTGGTTCATTTGCAGGCCAAAGGCATGTGAGGGTAAAGGAGAAACCGCAGAGGCCTTGACATCTGCACCAGCAGATGAATTTGAAAGCGAGTTCAATTCCTTCCTCTGGAGTCTGGCTTTTGAACAAAAAAACCCCCAAAGCACCCCACCAGCCCTCCCCTTTCCTGCATCTGTAACAAATAAATTCCACGTCTGCCTGCGAGGGAGCGCATGCGACAGGAGTCCAGAGGTCGGCCTGCTGCCGAGGAGCCGCTCACGGGGACCGGCGGAGGGAGGGAGGGAAAGCAAGGTGGCTCTGGGGGCTTTCATTTGGCTTCCAGCATCTGTGCCCCTCCTGCCAGAGGCAGGGTTTCTTACACCCCTTTTCAGAACGGTTCCCTTCCCTGCTTTCCACTCGGGTGTCTTTCCTCCCGGCAGTGGCTGCTTGGGTCAGGGGAGAAGGTGGAGCAGGAGTCGAGGCTCCCGCCTGCTCCCATGAACCCAGTTGCTTCTCCTGCCTGCGACTCGCTGTTCATTGAGGCAAGGGGTCTTGCGAGGATCGTGGCCCCTCTGCTCTGGCTGCCAACTCTCCTGATACTCGGAGCGGGGGGGATAAATGTGAAACACCTAAACCCTTCCTGTCTGGAGTGCGCCTGTCCCCAGGAGGGGCTGTTTGTTGGACGGCAGGTGTCTGCACACCTGCCTAGATCGGGCCGTGGTCGGGGGGGGGGGGGCACCCCCAGCCAGAGGCCGGCATCTCTGTGCTGAGCACGGCTAGCCTGTTTATCACAGCCACGCTGCCTCCGGAGAGCCCTGCCTCCGAGCACAGGAAGTGCCTGTTGACAGCTCCTTTGCCTTTTTTTTTTTTTTCAAGCTTTGCAGAAATGCAGATGTGGCTAAAACTGCTGCTTACGTCAAACATGTGCGAGCCGGGGCCGGTTCCCACGCTGGGTTGGTTTCCCCCTGTGCTGTTGCTCAAGTTGCAGAAGTATCAGAACACCTCTTCCCTGTTCTCCCCGGCCTGGGCCACCGTTCCCTCTCCCTTTCGGGAAGTCGTGGCCCTTCTGCTTACTGGTTTTGGTGGCTGGAGGGGCCTAATTTGCAAGCCTGTGCTGCCAGCCAGCCCCTCCAGCAAGGCGGTGAAGCCCCACAGCCGTGGTGTCAGCCTCCCACCAGTGAGTCTGATGGCTCTTGATGCCTGGGTGCTGCACGGTTCCCTCCAGCCAGGCAAAACATCTGCAGCCTCTCCTGTGAGCAGAAGCGCAACCTGGAGCCCTGGGATGACTCCTGTCTTCAGTAAACACTTTAACCCTCTGTGGCTTCCCTGGCAAAGGCCTGAACCTGGTGCTGCAAAAGCCAGGGAGCGAGGGAGGTTGCAGCTGTTTACTGCAAAGCACATAAACCACAGAAGCTGTTCTCTGCTCGCACGTCTGCTGCCCTTTTGGTCCCCCTGCGTCGGCCAAGTTGTTGACATCAGGTACGACTTGCTCGCTTCCTGTTTCAGGCACCGCAGGGGGCGGGGAAGGATGTTTTTGTGGCTGAAAGCATGGGCCTGGGACCCGGGAGGCTGGAGCTGGGGTCCCAGCTCTGCCGAGGTCCTGAGCCCAGCTGTGCAGTCCTGCCGTGCTGCAATTGCTACTCTAAGGTGCTCAGAGACTGGGGCTGGGCGTGGGGGGAGCATGCGATGCTCTTTCCCGCTGCAGAGTGGGACTTGGGGGGGTGCATGGTGGCAGCGAGCGTCTGTGTTGTGCTTCCTCTCCTGCCACAGGACCTGTCACACCCTGGCTGGCAGCGCTTCCCCAGAGCATCGGTTCTGCGCGTGGCTGTTGCAGAAGCCGTGCTCTCTGTGGGCTGGGCCCGTGGAGCCAGCAGTGGTGGGAGCCTGGGGTGGAGCTGCACAGGCAGCAGGTGCGAGACAAGGGCCAGCCTCTTCCCCGAGAGGAACAGAAACCAGTCCTCACTTGGGGTGTGGGCAGGAGAGAAACCCCCGTGCCCGGTGGGCCGGTCTGCCTCGGCCCACAAGAACGCTCTCCCGTTCCAGCTGGGTTTGGCGTGCTCCTCACAGCTGCTCCCCGGTGCCCCCGCGTGCCCTGCCTCCCTGGAGCCGCAGCCTCAGCCGAGGGGCGAGCAGGAGAAGGCAGAGAGGTGCAAGCGGCCCGCACGTACGCTCTTGCCCACATCTGGTGCTTGCAAAGTACAGCAGGCATTGGAAGGCACCAGGCTGGGAGTGGGGACGGACGGGGGGTTGTTCCTGACAGTCGCTGACTTGCTGTGTGCTGCTGGGTGACACTCCTCTATCTCTGCCTCCACTTCCCCTCCCCACCCTGCACCTGTTTAGACATAAGCCATAAGTGGCTGATGTTGGGGGCTGCCAAAGACCGCTGAGCAATACAGCGTGGGTGGGGGAGCACTGGGAGCCCCTCTGCAGCAGGGTTTGCCTTGCCTGAGTGAGGCGACATGCTCGCTTGTGGGGTGCTCTGTGTCGGGGGCCTGTCGGCAGGTGTCCGGCTTGCCTGCCTTCCAGCTTCCTTGGTTGGTTTGCTTTTTGCCCTCGCCAGCTCTCTCTGCCTCTGTCTCTGGAGCCCCGATGTGTGGGCCTGAGACTTTCCCGAGACACCCCCTTGCAGCAGGCACCGACCCAGCGGGGGGACCAGCCCCTTGGCCCCGGACTCTCGCCCCCCTGCCAAGCCATTGTCGTGTCCCAAGAGATGCCCTTTAGGAAGAGCTCTCCTTGTTCGGCAGCTTGGAAGCCTCCATGGTTACTGCAGCGCTCCATTGTCGTCCTGACCTGCAGCTGCCTCGTCCTTGGCACGGCAGCCTCTTCCAGGCCGGGCAGGCTTTCGCCCTGCTGCCTGCGGCTCCGCACCCATCTCCAAGGGGCCTTGGCGAGCAGGACCTGAGGCTCGCGGAGGTACGTGGAGCTTGCAGAGGAGAAGCGTGTGTGGGGGGGGTCATTCCAGTCTAAACCCCCAGGCATTCACCTCTCCTTAAAACCGGAGCTGAGCAAGCTCCGTGTGCTCCCGGCAGAGCGTCGCGCGTACCCCGTTTGAATGTGTCCCGAGACGCGTCTGGTTCAGGAGCTGACAGCAAGGCAGGGGCTTTGTCTCCTGCCACTGCAGCTGGGTTCAGAGTTGTCCCTGCGCCAGGTCCTGATTTGGGGAGGGTGAATTGTTTCCTCCACCATCTCTCTGCTGAGACTTTCAAGCGATTCTTGCCAGCCTCTGTCAGCTGGGCTGCCCTGATGGTCAGGGCCTGAATGAGGGCTGGGCTGGGCAAAGCTATAGAAGGAAGCCACAGGCTGATGAATAAGCTGAGCTGGCTGGCAAGACTTCCTCTGGTTCACAATGACCCAATTAAGCACGCGCCGGGACAGGCCAGTGCCAGAAGCAGCCCAGGTGCTTCGGCTTCTCTCCCTGGGCTTTTGAGCCAGCCTTCTCCCAGCTTCTGAAGACTGCGTCTGCACCGGCCCTCTCTACGGCGGCTTATGTTGGGGGCTGCGAAGACTGGTGAGCAATGCAGGACAGTCCCGCCACCCAGGTGCGTGGCAAGGGGCGTCTGGAAGCGCAAAGCACTTCAGCAGTGCCAGGCACTGAAACTGCACCGTCCTGCTCCGTGGTGCGTGAATTGGATTGGGGTCGCAACAAGAAGTAGTTCATCTGGGTACAGGCTGATAGCGGGAGGAAGTTCGGGGCCCTGCCTTGTAAGCAGCTCGCTGGGGTCCGTCTTGCAGCTCGCTCACATGCCAGGTGTGACAACTGCAAGCTTCTCCCAGCACCCGGGGAAGCATGCAGGTGCCTCCGGGGAGCCGGCTGGCTCGCAAGGCCGAATCCGTTCAGGCCAAGGCAGTTCTAGACTCCCAGCTGCATGGTATGAGAAGGGCTCTGTCCGTAACGTGCAGCATCGTAATGCCCAGCCCTTTAAGAGCAAGCAGGGAAGCCTGCAGACTTTGTGCCTGCTGGTGCCTTGCTTCCGGTTACGGATGTGCAGATTGCTAGCTCCCTGGTGCAACTTTCCGTTGAATTCAGAGGGGCGAGGGGATATGTGGGGTTCTCACGAGACGAGAAGTCACCACCTTCTGCTTGGGTAGAAACGTGTCTTCCTCGAGAGCCGGTCAGACCTGCTTGCTGCCATCGTGCCAGCGCCACCCTTGCCTGTGCGTGCAGTCCCAAACGTGCCACCCAGCTGGCAAAGCTAGAGTCAGTTCGGGCATACTTGATTCTGAGCCGGGCATTGACCGTGAAACCTTCTCTGGAAAGGTCTCTCTGTAATGCCAAGGAGAAGAACAAAGCCAAGCGTGGCCCGTCGCTGCTTTGTAACTGGAGAGTGCTTGGAAACCCTGCGGTCAAACCTCACGTCTGTCTGGGGTTGCTCTTCAGTTCTGCAGCTGGTTTTATTCTCCCTGGGCATTGAACTCGTGTGAGGGGTTTGCTCGGTGACCACATGTTGCTCCGTGGGCCCCTGCCTGTGGCGGTGGCTGGCCCAGACACGTATCCCTGGTTCTTCAGCGGGAATGACCACCGGGTCAGCAGGTTTGGCCACTGGTCAGCTGAGGCCGTGACCAGCCTTTTCCTTTCACCGTGTCCTTTTAGGAAGTGACAGGGGCTCCACGGAGCGCTTCGAAAGGAGTGTCCGGGTCCTAGGATGCTTCACGAAGAAACAGCCATCCGAGGTGGGGCTGTCAGGTGGGAGCTGGCAGTCCTGTGCTTCACACGGCGTGATCGGGGTTGGGCTCCATAACCATCCAGGGGCTTTCCTGGCCCTGCGACTTGACTTTCCTGAGGTGTCTGGGGCCTGGAGCCTCCCTCTTGCTTCTCGCTTTGGGCAGCGTCTGCAAAGGGAAGCCGTGCAAGGGCGAACGGCCCCTGCTTTGCTTGTGCAACGCGCCAGACCAAGAGGAGCCTTGGCACCAGAGTGGGGTGGCCCCAAAGGGATACCCTCTCCCCAGAGAATAGCAGCGATGCCTGGTGTTGTGATGTTCCTTGCTTTGTCAGGGCAGGTTTTTGGGCTTGTCTTCATCCCCACTCTCCTATATGGAGCAAAGTTGTCCCTTGGGTTGCGCCAGGGCCCGTTACAAGTTCTGCAGTAGAATAAGGACTTCCGTGCGGTGATGCCGGGAGCTCTGGGCAGTGGGGCGCACCCTTGTCCAGGGGATGTGCCCGGTGCTGCAATGGGCCGAGGGCCCCAGGAGACGCTGGGGGCTGAACTCTGCTTCTGAGCATGGAGTGCTGGAGAATCCTGCCCAGCATGCAGCCTCGACCCTCCCTGCCCCAGCCCGCGAGCGCACCTGGAAGGGAGCACACCCCAGATCCAGGGCAGCCGAATCCTCCCACAGCTCAGCTGGCAGCGGCCGTGCACACGCTTATCTCCAGGGCCAGGTACGGGCAGAACAGGAACGTTGTGATCCCTGAGCACAGCGTGCTCCGTGTCTGCAGCGTGTGCTCTGTGGCACGGTGATCCAGCCCGCGTGGAGCCCGGGCGTGATCCTGGCGCCTTTCTCCATGCTGGTGTTTGGGGGCTGGCGGTACCTTTGCTCCATCCTGCCTTGTGTTGCACGATGCGGGCGAAACGGAGCGGTGGCGCGGGACTGCACTGCTCAGAGACCATGTGGGTGCAGATCATTTGGTGCTTCTCTATGCGTGTGCTGCTTAATCTCCTAACCACATCCTTAGGCCAGTTCAACTTCCCCGGGAAACCCCCAACTGAGTGGACTGCCTCAGCCAGGCTACAGAGGAGGTTTGCTGTTCCCATGCCACTCTTTCTCCTAGGGATGCTTGCTCTTCGGGCACTTCTGACAGTGCCCTGGGCCTGGACGTGCAGAGGGGAGAGGAAAGGGGAAGAGAGGACCTCTTTGCCTTGGGCCCTTCCTGCATGCTAATCACATTGGATGGAGTGGCTCAGCCTGGCAGAAGGCCATGCTTTCCCTCCCCACGCCCTGGAGCCGGTGGGTTGGCAACCTGTGCTGCTAGTCGGAGAAAGCAGGAA